GGAAGAAACATTAACAACCTCAGATATGCAGATGACACCACTCTGATGGCCGAAAGCGAGGAGGAGCTGAGGAGCCTTCTTATCAAGGTGAAAGAAGAAAGCGCAAAAGCCGGGTTGCAGCTAAACATCAAAAAAACCAAGATTATGGCAACAAGAATGATTGACAACTGGAAATAGAGGGAGAAAATGTGGAGGCCGTGACAGACTTTGTATTTCTAGGCGCAAAGATTACTGCAGATGCAGACTGTGGCCAGGAAATCAGAAGACGCTTACTTCTTGGGAGGAGAGCAATGTCCAGTCTCGATAAAATAGTAAAGAGTAGAGACATCACACTGGCAACAAAGATCCGCATAGTCAAAGCCATGGTATTCCCTGTAGTCACCTACGGATGTGAGAGCTGGACCTTAGGGAAGGCTGAGCGAAGGAAGAGATGCTTTTGAGCTGTGGTGTTGGAGGAAAGTTCTGAGAGTGCCTTGGACTGCGAGAAGATCCAACCAGTCCATCCTCCAGGAAATAAAGCCCGACTGCTCACTGGAGGGAAGGATACTAGAGACAAAATTGAAGTACTTTGGCCACATCATGAGGAGACAGCAAAGCCTAGAGAAGACAATTATGCTGGGGAAAGTGGAAGGAAAAGGAAGAGGGGCCGACCAAGGGCAAGATGGATGGATGGCATCCTTGAAGTGACTGGACTGACCTTGAGGGAGCTGGGGGTGGTAACGGTCGACAGGGAGCTCTGGCGTAGGCTGGTCCATGAGGTCACGAAGAGTCGGAGACGACTGAACGAATGAACAACAACAACATGAGACAAAGTAGACTTCTTTAAAAGTAACATAGTTGATTTACTCACAAACTTCATATATTCAGCATACAAGTACATTGCTTATCAGTCCAGTTACAGATTGGATTTGAAGTAGTTGCTCTGTGCAGTTAACACAGGGTATCTTTTTCATAATCTTAACAGTCCAAAGTTTAAATCATCTCTCTGAGAGTCTCTTCTCTAAAGCGTTCTGTTTCAACTGGCGTCTAAACCGTACTGACTTCTAAAATGGAATCTGAGTTTAATAGTCCCAGATATGGTCACATGGTCTGCAGCTCCTCCCATAATATCGAATTAAGGAAAACTGTATACCAACACACACACATATACACTACAAATTACGTGTATAGGAGACTTGTAGACAATCCTATTTTCACAGGGACAAAAAGGGAGGTGAAATCTTCTCAATATGGGCTCAGGCAGTAAAACAAACCCCATACACACACGAGAAATGTACTTGTTCCAATTTACAAATAAATACAATTTAAGAGCAAACCTACAGAACCTATCTTGTTCATAATTTGGGGACTGGCTGTAATCTTCAAGAACACATCTACTTCATTAACTAAAACATACCTTTGGGTAACTGTAGAAAATTAGTATTTTGGGAGCACAAGGCCCCTTCTACACTGCCATATAAAATCCAGATTATCTACTTTGAACTGGTTTATCTGGTAGTATAGACTCATATAATAAAGTTCAAAGCAGATAATCTGGATTTTATATGGTGGTATAGAAGGGGCCTAAGTTGGATACAAGATAACATAGTGTCTTTAGAGATGTTTCTTGTGTCACTGAAACTATCTGGTCCTCTTAATTGAGTATTGTGGTCAATTAAGGTTCATGATTGTGGATCCATGTATTTTAAAAGCTTTTTTTTCGTGTCAGAAGTGACTTGAGAAACTGCAAGTTGCTTCTGGTGTGAGAGAATTAGCCATCTGCAAGGACATTGTCCAGGGGATGCTTGAATGATTGATGTTTTACCATCCTGTGGGAGACTTCTCTCATGTCCCCACATGAGAAGCTAGAGCTCGACAGACGGGAGCTTACCCTGCTCCCTGGATTTGAACCACCAATTTGTTGGTCAACCAGTCCTGCTGGCACAAGGGTTTAATGCATTGCACCACCTGGAGCTCCTATTTTAAAAGCTTATTTTGTGATAGCTTGCTTTTTATTCTGCTCTTCAAAGAGAAACATGTAGTTCTTCTCATGTGGCACTTGGTCTTTGAAGTTATATCTTCATATAGGGAAGTAGCCTACAGCCCCATTTCTAATGATCTAGCCAGAGGGTGAGGAAGCTTTTGAAAATGAGCAGCCTGAGGACCCTCCTTTTTTTAGGTGATGCATAATAGGCCACCCTATAATTACTCTTGGGTAGCAAGACCATGAATTGACAGAAGCACTGATCTCTACAATAGCTGTACGATCTGGAGGAGATAGGGATCTTTTAACATAGAAAAGCAACCAAACCATTGACTAATTCCATGTCATTGATAGACACTTTGAAAAGTGTTAGCAATATGGAAAACATCATAAAGTCCAAATCATTGCTGTTTTGTAGCTATCAATTTTAAATTTCAAACAGGTGAGGAGGGTAATTGCTTGTTGACAAGATGTCCACAATTTCAAAAGCCATAGTTAAGCACATCTAACTACTCCATCACACTAGAGAATGAATCCACTTTAAATCTGGTTTCTCCTGCAGAATTCTGAGGTTTCTAATTTAGGGAGGAGCCTTTAACAGCCTCACTAAACTACAAACCCCATATTTCTGCAGGAGGCAGAAACCAGATTTTAAGTGGATTCATTCTCTAGTGTGATGAGGTCCTAGGTCAAAATGTTTTAAGTAACAAATGGCTAGACACTTTAACAGTCCTGTTCCCATTAGAAACACATCTCTGGAGAGATGCTGGTTGATTGAGTAGAGAAGGCTTATCTATTCAATACCTGCTTTGCCTCAATTTATTCAAAGCAGGTAAATGTTGATGAGACAAGTGGAAGGAACAAATAAAGGAAACAGTGTAAAGTTAATAGAGTTCAATGTAAAATGTATCCTTGTATACCAGGCGCTGTAATTTTTGCATATAGTAGCCAATGGAAATCCATAAATCTCAAATAATTGACAATCAATATGGCTTCCATCATTGTCAAGGTTAACTGATTCAGCAGAGATGAATCAGGGGATTTCAAACGTTTTCTCCCCAGTTTTTCTTTTTCACTGGCATTACTTGGAACATTACATAAGAAAAGAAGAACATTGGGAATAGAAGATTCAGGCTAGAGCACCCTGAATACATCTTCACTGTAGAATTAATGCAGATTGACACCACTTTAATTGCCACAGCTCCATGCTATGAAATCACGGGATCTATAGTTTTGCAAGGTTTTTAGCCTTCTTTGCTCAAAGAATGCTAGTTTCTCACCATTCTACAAATCCCAGGATGTCATAGTACTGAGCCATGGCAGTTTTTTTTCATGTCAGGAGCGACTTGAGAAACTGCAAGTCTCTTTTGATGTGAGAGAATTGGCCGTCTGCAAGAATGTTGCTCAGGGGAAGCCTGGATGTTTTACCATCCTGTAGGAGGCTTCTCTCATGTCCCTGTATGAAAAGCTGTAGCTGACAGATGGGAGCTCACCCCAGATTTGAACCGCCAACCTTTTGGTCAGCAGGCCTGTTGGCACAATCGTTTAACCCATTGCACCACCGGGGGCTCCTAGCCGCAGAAGTGAAATTGTGTAAAACTGCAATCTACAATGTAGACGTACTGAGTGTGTTAACTATTCCCTTGATCCTCATTCCCTTCTCTGAAAGTCCAGCTCCAAAGTTAGTTCTTCTTGACCTGAATAAAAAAGAGCTGTCAGACCTTGTTTAGACATGTCTGAGGAGTTACACTGTGGGATTACTCTCTGATAATTTATTCACAGCCTTTCCTGACCTCACAGTTAACATGGGAATTAAAAAGTTCTCATGTTTAAGGGGATATCAGCTCATTTTTAATTTTTCTGATCACTTCCTATTATTGATTGTTAAATGACGGGACAGAAAGCAATGACCCATCATGATTGCTGATTGCATGATAATCATGAGTGCTAGGTATATCACATCAATAATGAAATATCTGAATCCAATTTTAGGTTTATAGGGTTTTTTCAAGCAGCCATTAAAAAGGATCAAGCAGAGTTATAAATAATAAAGCATGACTTCTCCATGGCACTTGTGTATCTGTAGAATAGTTCTTTCTAGGCATAGTGCGATTCTATTTTTAGGCATTCTTTATTACCACTTTCTGCTTTTTATTTTTGAGGCACCAGTTGTTTAGTATATGTTCCAGCAAGGTAAGAATTCATCTGTTCTGGAATTCTTTTCACACAGCACGAAATACAAATTTTTGAATATTTTGCGCTCTCTCTCTGTGACTGTGTGTGTGTGTGAAACCCAGAATCCTTGTTCCCAAAACCTACAACTTAGTACAGATAGTAATTGTGCTGTGCCTCACCTTGAGCCATTAGGAGTGGTGGGCAGCAAATATATTATTATTTGATGCACTACAAGATTGGTACAAAGCACACAAGATCACTATGCTGGCTTTTGTGTTCGATCACATTTCTGACACTTCCCAAGTGTCTAGGAATGTGTGATTATTACTATAACACAGTATGACACAGCAAACGAGATCTATATGCTGGATTTCATATCCCAAAATCACAAGTCAAACACTTCCCAAGCATTTAGGACTGCTTGATGTATTTTCGAATGACGTGCGCAGATCCAAGTATGGTGATCTTTTGCCGTTGACAGATCGTAATTATTGTTATTATCATCATTATTATTATTATTCGAGCCCCTGGTGGCACAAATGGGTTAAATCCTTGTGCCGGCAGGACTGCTGACAGATTGGCAGTTCTAATCCAGGGAATGGGGTGAACTCCTATCTCGGCTCTAGCTTCTCATGCGGTGACATGAGAGAAGCCTCCCACAGGATGGTAAATCACCCGGGTGTCCCCTGGGCAATGTCCTTGCAGACGTCCAATTCTCTCACACCAGTAGCGACTTGCAGTTTCTTAAGTTGCTCATGATATGGAAAAAAATTATATAATTGCAAGGTCATGAAATGTATTTTCATATTCTAGCAATGTAAAGTTACCTTTACTAATTTCTACTTCTAATTTTTGTATCCAGGTATCTTCAGCATGGAGAAGTTGCAATAAAGAATAGTTTGCCTTCTGGAAGAATGCTGTGAAGCCATTTGCCAACAATAGCAACTGAAATAGAGGCTAAATATCCCACTTAAGTGTGATTAATTTCTTATTAAGTAGTACCTCAGATTATAGTAAAAATGTACGGAAGTGCAAGAACAATCAGTAACTTGGACGGCAGTCCTGCCAGATCCCCTCGTTTGCCAAGATCTCCTCGTTTGGGCCATCGGCGAACAAGCAGTGGAGGAGGTGGAGGGACAGGTAAGACATTATCAATGGAGAATATCCAGTCCCTTAATGCCGCCTATGCAACTTCTGGACCAATGTATCTGAGTGATCATGAAGGTGTGGCATCCACTACTTACCCAAAGGGCACAATGACTCTTGGAAGGGCTACGAGTCGAGCTGTGTATGGCAGTCGAGTTACAGCTATGGGCAGCAGTCCTAATATTGCTTCAGCTGGCCTTTCCCATTCAGATCTCCTTTCCTATACCGACCAACACGGAGGACTAACCACTGCTTCCCATCATCACCATCATCAGATCCCTTCTATGCTCAGACAGGTAAGGGACAGTACCATGCTAGATATGCAGGCCCAGCTTAAGGAATTACAGAGAGAGAATGACCTCCTAAGGAAAGAACTGGACATCAAAGACAGCAAGCTTGGCTCTTCCATGAACAGCATCAAGACGTTCTGGAGTCCAGAACTCAAAAAGGAAAGAGTCTTGAGGAAAGAAGAAGCTGCCAGAATGTCTGTTCTAAAAGAGCAGATGAGGGTTTCTCACGAGGAGAACCAGGTAAGCAATTGTAAATGAAAGCAAGTAAATCCTTGAAGAGACAAGTGTTAGTTTCCTTATTGGATAGTAACAATCAACTGGTGGCATGCCTTGACTTTGTTAACATGATGAATTTTTAATTATTGTTTCTGGTTATGATGGGGGAAAAAGTCAACCAGTGAAAGTCAACCAGTTGCCATTCATTTGCAGCTTCATTGTTACTCCAAACAACAGCCTCTTATTTTTGTATTTGTGAAATAGCTGAAGTGTATTAAGCAACGTTTCCTATTTTAAAATGTTGCATCTTTACCAGATTGAGAAAAAAAAAACACTTGAAAGAAGGCAAGTATGGGCATAAGCTTAACTGCAGCAGACAAAAAATAAACAATAGCTGAGCAATAAACAATAGCTCTGTTACTCTATTCCTACATATTATATGGTTTCTTTGTTTTTACTTAATGATCTGTAAACAGTACAGTAGGATTATAATGTACAACTGTGTTTCTCAAAGATATAAGTATAAAATATGTTTATCTTTAAGAATCGCTACTAATTTTGAACTTTGAACCCATGATTTCGTGATCTCTGGGGGTACTTAAAGATTATCATGTTCCCTTTTCTATTTTGAAAAAAAGGTTTGGACCATTGGCCAGGACAACATTCTTCTCTTTAGTTGGCAACACCTGCTAACTTATTTAGATGAAAAGAGTGGGATTTTAGGGATAAAATGGAACTTCGAGAATAAAATGAAGATGATTCTGGAACAGAAATAATTCCAGAAAGCACAGTCATGTCTAACAGGACATATATTCACTTTCACCTTCGAGATATATATATATAAGAGTAGTCAGATATGGGAGAGCCCTCTGTGCATGAAGTGATCCAAAGGATCTCTGCAATGGGATTATTTTAGGATTCAGGCACATTTATTCAGTGGTCCAGTTCAGATGATGTGACAAATTGTGTAAATGATACCAGATATCAGTTGTAATTTATTTCTGTATCATTCATAGAAATAATAATCTTTGATCAACCTCATCTTGTTATTCATGGGGTGCTTGCAGTGGTAGAAGTTCAGCATATCACAGATATCATCCAAATTATGGAGACTTCTCTAGGTTCTTTCTCTCCCAGGAAACCAGTAAAATGAACTTAAACCCTGGATTGGGTTACTGAGAGGAAAAAAGAAAAGAGTAAAGAAAGTAATAACTTCGGGATGACATAGTAAGCAAACCATACTGGAAAGCTCAGTAGTTTGTTAAGCTACTCCCACTGCAAGCAGGACTGATTGACAATGAATACATGCATTAGTATGCTGTTCCTAACCAATAAACTGGGACTCCTGTGTGTTCCAGACTTATCATGTTATCAAAACAGAAGCAGTATATCTCATATTCATTAGCTACACCTGTGAATGTTGTGAGTTGGATCTGGGTGGGACATTGCAAGTAGCAACTATTGTTTAAAAGTTCCAGATGGGTTGCTTGTGCAAGATACGGGAACAATTTAAATAATTTCTATGCCTTTTGTGCCTCCCTGAATTAACATCAGTTCTATGTTCAACAGTTGTACAAATAACTGATAATAGTTTATTTAAGTTATTAGAAAAATAAATGAATCATTTTCTCTGGGATAACATTGGTATCAATATAAAGAATTAAAATTAAATTTAAATTTCTGGTTACATGATAACAAAATAATAATACTGTACATTTGCAGTCCTATGGCTGCAAATTAGGTATAAATGATCACCCTTTTAAAATTATATTGATGGCAGTTACATGGAAAATGAGGAAAAGAGACAGGAATGCCAGTCTTAAAAGAAGACTGAAATTATATTTGGGTAATTTCTTTCTTCTCGATATAGCTATTTAAACAGATATTTTTTACACAATGGTGCTCAACCATTTTGTAACAAGTATGAACAGCTCATCCTAAGATGTATTTGACAATGAAGTGTGATGGGTTTTATTCATGATGGGTAATTAAACTCATCCAAAATTTCATGGGTAGTATTTCTTAATACCTTAGATTTTCTATACTAGTTTTTCCTCTAATGAAGCTTTAGAGGTGCTATTGGATTCTTTCCTTACATGCAGCAAAGGCATTGTGCTAACATTTGTTTCCCAGTCTAGCAAAAGAGATTGTTTAGAAGCAGTATTTTGTGAGCAGAGAAGAATCACACTATGTGTCCTTATCTCAAAGCCGATCTATTAAACACCTAAAATAATAGTGAGACCATAATGGTACTCTAGAAATTCACTTCCAATCAACTTAGGTTTGTATAGCTAGTTGTGGTGGAAACTGTTAAAATTTGCAGTCCAGCGCTTAGTGGGTCTTGTTATGAGACACCAGTTGAAAGGCTGATATACTTTAATGGGAATGTGCATTCCTATGTGCCTGAAAAGTTAATTCAAATCAGTTAGTGTGCTGACATGCGCTGGACCTATAGCAATTGTCTTTTAAAACAGGACTATTTCTTTCTTTTACAAGGAAAACCCTCCAACCCCTCCCTGGGCAATCTGTCTTTAGGCTGGCTGGCGTGAGGCCTTACTCCTGATTCCAATTTGCTTTTTGGGTACCCAAGTAAACCTTACCGGCCAAAACTTTAGAGATTTTCCAGCTGGAGACCTTTGGATCTGTAAAACCATTTTCTTCAGAAGCTTTAGGGCTATCTTCCCCAGAGGCTTGTAGAGCTGTGAGGCTGTAAGTTCCCCAGCTAGAGCTTTGAGAAATGTCTTCCCCAGAAGCTTTGGGACTATTTCCCCCGGAGCTTTGTAAGAAACGGAGCTTCTCTACAGGTGGGAAAAGCTCTCGCGTCCTGTAACTGAGCTTCTAAACAGTAAGACTGAACTAAAAACTTTCTTTTCCCTCCCAGAACCTTGGGAAAAGGGGCAGAACTAAAGAACTTAACGATGATAGACAGGTGGCTGGCCCTATGGCTGCAGCCTGGAAGGAACCACCCAACTGCAAAATGCATGGCCAAAACAAACACATGCATAGAAAGGAAATTTAGGCTTCTGGTACAGCTGTACCAGCACAGTTAGGATGAAGAATGTCTTGAGTATCCTGATGAACAGTTGTTTTTCTATGTTAATAATGTCATGGAATGGACAAAAACATTAAAGATGGGGGCTGGAATCCTGTATGGTCTTAATAGATGGGTAAGCACCACAGTTATGGTACTAAGCCCTGGAATGACCTCCATCCACCTCCCCACTTACTAAAAAGAAGACATTGTGACTATTGAGGTCTGTTCCTCTGTTTCTTGGAAAGTGGCAGGCTGTCATTTAGATGTCTCTTGTGAATGATCTTCATTGCAGTAGGCAAAAACAGGTTTCCTGTTGCACCAAGAGATAGTTCAGATGAGGAGTGAGTGAAAACAGTAGCCAGCTGTTTCCGAAGCAACAGGGGGTTAGATCCCTTGCTGCCAGGTAAGTGGGGACTGGGGAGTTTTCACAGTCCCTACGTAACCCCTAGTTTATAGGTTATGTAGGGACTGTTAATACGTAAATCATAAATGCATATCTCCATGCTTGTTTTGGATACTATTTCCTTTTGAACAAAGCTGTTGCGAACAAATTTGTAAAATAGTTTAAACTTTCAGTTTTTCACAGAGGCACTTATCCTGAGGTGCACATCCATTGAGAGATAATTGGGATTCATTAATCTCCCAATAAAAGTTTAGTTAATTAAATTTCAGATGATTAATCATATCATGCTTTATATTGTTTGAATTACATATTAAATGCTGGAAAGGTCACGTTATCATGACCATACAAATCTCTGTTTATGGATGGGAATACCTCTGTGATAGTAACAATTCCCTGACTTTGCACACTTATAAAAAAAGCACACTAACAGTTTCTTGTTTTGCTTCTGAATAACTCATAGCTTGTATAATTACTTATAATTAGATATTAAGCAAGGATATTATTCTGAAACTGTGCTTTTGTTAATACATTAGTTACTACTTTTCTACTAATTCTGTATGCCAAAAGGCTACATTAATACTGAAAACATATGAAAAATAGATTTAATATATTTCAGTGTATTAAAAAGTTTAAAATTCTTCATGAAAGAGACCATGAGATTGTAAAGTATTTATGCTTCAGATGTATGCTGCTTGCATACAAGTAGAAAGCATCAATTGTCTTGAATATAACATGTGGGCAGGAGCTTGAAATACAATGGTTCTCCTTTTTGTCCAGAGTTAGCATGGGATGAATTCATATAATCCTGGGATCAGGGGATGCTCCCACTGGTGAGAAGAGAGGGAGGTGACTTTGCCTCCTCTTCTTCTCTCTGCAGTTCCCCAGTTTTTCCTTAATATTTAGTGTGGAGTGAATGCTAGAACATGCAAACTGTAGCCTTCTTCCTGCAGGAACTCCTGCTCAGGGCATCCAGGCAGCCTGTTAAAAGCGCAAGCCCCTGCGTTTTCACATGGGGCATCCAAACGCTGCACCATGTAAAAGCGAATGCTTTTGGGACCCGGCTTTGTTCCAACGTAATTTGTCAGCTGGAAAGATCTGGGTCTTTCCACCTGTGGATGGTGTCTGGATCACCCCTTCAGAAGTCCTGGGACTTCTGAGGGGGGTGTCCACACAGCCCTCTCACATTTTCCAGGCCTCATGAATTTGGAATATCCGAGAGGGCTCTAGTACCCCCCCCCCCCCGAAAAGCCGTTGAAAAGGAAAATAACTTATGCGGCCACCATTCCCCCTTCTCTGGCGATTTCCTATTGCATAGAAATGGTACGCCAGGAGAAGGGGGGGGGGGGAGGAAAATAGCTTCTGGCTTTCTCTTGCTCCTGACGTGTCATTTCTACGCACCAGGAGAGTGCTGGAGAAGGGAGAATGTCATATGGGTAAGTTATTTTCTTTTTTAAAGGCTTTTCTGGGGGGTTTTGTTTTGTGTCCTAGTGTCCTGCCGGAAAGTCCAACAGGGCATGTGGACCCCCCCCCCCAGAAAATCATGCACTTTCTGGGACATGTGTGGACTTTAACCAGGATCCAATCACA